GATGTTATTATATTGTAAGATGTACTCACAGCCCAGGAGTCATGACTGCTCTTCCCGAGCAGGGTGTAATCCGGTGAGTTACTTTGCCTTCCGACCCTTTAGGCCGGGCCCAAATCTGACAAACAAATGGAACGTGGTTTTTAGAAGTCATGGATGTAACAACCACCCGTCGTCTGCCATCATTGGTGTAGAGGTATGCTGCGAAAACATAATCCAGAGAATCGTTTGAAGGGAGAATGACAGGCATCCACTGCTGGGTTAGCGGTACATCTGGAGACACCAAGGGTAAATTGGAGCATTTCATTGTTGAAAACTTTGAAAACGAAATCTCTTCGTTTTTATATGATCCATTTGCTTTGGTGTTCACATCTCCTCTAGGAACTGTTCTTTTACTGCCTTCATGCTCATGAGAACTGCTATTCATGCTTGATTTTGTTTTTCCAGTAACTGCCACGTATCTAAACTCGCCTGGTTTTGACTGCATTGCAGACCATATCAAAGCAGAGACAAGAAAAAGTACACATAATGAGACCAAAAACACCATTAGTTTTAGTATCTTTTTTGAATACGGCATCTTTTCTCGCACGGATGGCTCACCCATGTCTTAGTGATTTCATATGCTCAGTGGCTGCCCTGGAATTTTCTTTTCAGCCTCCAGCGTATATGAAAAATCTGCCAACACTATGACATAATAAGGCTAATTCTAAATTTATAGGGTATATGAAGGGAATTGCTTTGCGCCACCAGCATGGTTTAATATTTTACTGAAGCGCTTCTTTCATGTGCTTAGTTCACAAAGGAAACCCCCAGACTTGTGAAATGATTTTAATAGAGTCGCTTGCTTGTGCACTTGACTCTAGCCTGAGAGAAGTCCTAACACCTACTTTGCTAGCGGTTTGTTCTTTATTTTGTAAAGTTTCGTTTTAAATGTTTAATTTTTATCTGACTTGTTAGTTTTTTGTCCTTCAATCTACTACCCTGTATCTACATTTTCATCATATTGCAGCGGTCAGCATTAATTTGAAACCATGAAGTGTGCCGCCTGAGGTAATGGGCAGAAGACTTGTGTGTGGATTATTTGTATTTTCGATTGTTTAATCCTAGATTACATTTGCCATTGAGTCGTCCGTACGAGGCTCGTATGCTGCCCGTAAATCCCTTTTCGTACGCGTCTGAGCGGAGGTAGACGATGGCCGAGCGAAATCGAACCGAATTGTAAGGATTTACGGCCTCCGTAGCATCTACGATTTTGTCAAGCTAAAACTTCTGACAAATTTAAAAATCGTAAGCCCGTAGGTCGTAATGACATAGGTGTGGCATTGCACCATACCCGCACGAGCACTGTACGGCGGACTTTTCCTTGTTGGTTCCTGATGTTTGCAAGGAAATTGTAAAAGAGTACAAGGACGAGGTGTTGGTGATGTCGACGTCTCAAGATGGATGGCGTGAGACGTTGGAACTTCCATCATTGCCTTGGAGCCATAGCCAAGCACGTCCGAATGAAGAAGCCCATTGAATCTGGTTGCGCGTGTTTTAACTAAAAGGGATTTTTCCCATAGTTGTTTTGGGCGTTGTAGACGCAGACTATAAATTCATATAGGTTGGTGTGGATGCCCGTGGATTAATGTCAGACGCTGGAGTATTCAATCAGAGAATCCTGAAGAGAAACTCAAACTCGATGGAAATTTGCTCTTGGAAAGTATGGGCTGAGATTTAAGACAAATCATGGAAGTTTAGAAATTGAAAATTGCAATATATGTATTTAATGTTCTGTAATAACCCTTTGCTATTTTGGTGCTTTGACACTTAAAAGACAAAACAAAAAAGTTGTAAATGTAATGAGCACGGAATTTCGAACACATATTAGACATTAAAAACGCCATTAAACATTTTGCTACAAGTAATAAATAGGGGTAAGAGGGGGGGGGGGTATGGTCAAGTCAAAGGTAGGTCTCGAACCCATAGATGCAAAAGAACGATCGATGATATCTTACCTTGTGGTCTTGCACGCTAACCACTACACAGACGAGTTGAAATTGCAAACCTCTCATTTTTTGTCTGATATATGGCTCACCAGAGGGCTTTCATATGTATTATTGCCTAAGGATAGGACTTTCAAATGGCCGGAACAGGAATAAAACAGGAATAAAAGTCCGACAGTAATACAAGTCCTACCTACACTAATTATGAGCCAGGAACCTAACTCCCTGTAGGACTACAGTGTACTATGCCCAAGTGTTAGTCTTACGGACAACCATTACCAGGAACCTGGGGGACTTGGATTACTGTTACAACGGAACTAGCTATTATACGTTACACGTACATGTGCGGCAAACCGAAAACTACGTCTCAACTTTAACAAGTCATTACACATGCATACATTCTCCCCGTTAGCACTGCTTCTTAAACTTGACTGAGGTCATGTAAACAGAATGTTTTGCAACGTACACTCTTGGATCCAAATCTTATTTTGGATCCCAGGTACACAGTAACAGTCAATACACTCACCAGCCACAATACGCAATATAAGAAGGTCAATATATGGGACGCGTACGTCTTACCTGTAAAACCTTCACGCAGTGTAAGGTCACTCTATCCGCACATAGACTGCTGAATCCAGGGTCCAGAGTGAAAAGACCAGCCCTAAAGTTGCAGTCGAAGTTACGGCTAGGGTCCCACCGAACCCAAGGGTACAAGGAACGGCAATGAGCATCACACAACTGTTGCTGAGCTATCTGGACGTGCCCACAGTGTTAATATTTCTGATCATACTGCTATTCCTGGTTGCTCAGAGAAAGCCCCACAGATATCCACCAGGGCCGTTGAGATGGCCCGTAATAGGGAACCTCCCCATCGTGATCGGGGCCAAGATGCAGGCCAAAGACTTCATGAAGATATCTCAAAAGCACGGGTCAGTATTCTCACTCCGGCTGGGGGTGTTGGACATGGTGATTATAAACGGCTATGATGCCATTCACGAGGCTTTCTCCGAAAAGGCCGAGCTATTCACCGGCAGGCCTCACGATCTGATTTATATCATTCAGAAAGGTATAGGAAAGAAAGGTAAGCGAATTTGCAGCGTGAGGCTTTCAAACATTTCCTAAATGTACCTTTTTATTAAAGTATGGTGTTAAGAAGAATTGCCTTAGGGGACTTTTTATGCATCATTGAAAATGAGTGTCGTTCTAGAGCTACTGCATTTCGATACTGATCTCTGTAGGGAATCAAAGGTGGAATGAGCACGTTACAAAGATTCAAGATGCTTCATTTATGTGAAACGAAATGCTAGGCAGTTCTATATTTATAACCACAATTTCTTCAACCTCTGGTTGCAGTCCTGTACCATCTTTATCGTAAATAACTATATACCGTCACATGTACCTTCTTTTTAAGGGTTAATCATGAACGAAGGCCCCTCCTGGCACGAGCTGCGTAAAATGATAGCCGTAGCCTTTCGTGATTTCGGAGTGGGAAAGAAGACGCTGGAGGAACGCATACTGGACGAGTGCCAGGCCCTCTTTGAAGTACTTGACTCCAAGCAGAAAGCACAGTCCATACAAAGTACCAATCTGCAGAGAACGTTAATGTCCGCAGTGTCCAACATTATCTGCTCTATTACGTTCGGAGACAGGTAGGTCCTATGTTCCACCGAGGGCCCAGCTAAACTTACTGGTACACTCAAGGAAGATAGGGGGAAATATAGTCAGAAGAGAGCGTAAGGGTAATAGGGAGAGTTGTATGGAGCAGAGGGGGAAATAGAGAAACAGGGTAGTTATTTGGATCACAGGGGAGCATAAGGGAAATAGGGAGAGGCACAATGAAGCTAAAAGCGGCACATAGGAGCTGCAGGGGAGACGGATGAGTTCAAGGGGACATGGGGGGATATAACTGGTGGTGGTGAGTGGGGGTTCACGTAGACCAATGTTTGTTAGTGGTCTTTCCATGTGCGCAGGAATTATGGACGCTATATAATGTTCCCGTATCCCTGGGTCCGTGATTTTGTCGTTGAATGCTTCAACAGAACCCTACACCGTACTAGCTTGTTAATACGCTGAATTCCATGGGATATTCCAATCATGAGTTCATGTGTTATTTTCCAGATTCCAGTACACAGACAAGCAGTTTGTAAAACTGTTGGACTCACTGGCGAGGTTTTTTCGGACCAGTGCTCTCGCGCTTCCAGAAAACGCGTTTCCATTTTTGAGATTCATCCGAACGTCATCACAGGTAGCCTAAACTTTTAAGTATTGGTAAGGAACACGTGTTTCTTACATTTCTTGTGTGTATCACTTTCAAAAGAGGGTCTGAATCGGTAATATATTAGATGACATGATTTACATTTGGAAGTTAACTTGTACGTGAACCCAGTATGTCTTTTGGTCCATTTAAAACTGGGGCTCAGTTAAAATACGTGCACCAAACAGACTTGGTGAATTAGGACGGATTCCAGATGAAACTATCGTTCTACATAGATCGATCCAACTACTGGTATGCGAATGCAAGGGGTGATTAATTTTCATGTGCTCTCTGCTTCTGGAAACTTTTTCACTTCGTTTCGAGTAGGAGCGAGCGCACACGACAATGAATCACCACCTTCCTGTTGGGGGAGGCGTTTCATTCAATTAATCTGATTGCATTCAACGAAAGCCCCAGCTGAGTTTGAACGATATACGTAGAACGATATTTTCATTGGGAACATGCCCATAGATTATAGGCTCTATCTACTGATATTTGCCTTGGGACAGGGTCAACCTTAGAAAAGTCGTGTACACATCCTTGTTTAAATTAGGCCCGTAGCCAGGGCGGTTGGGTTTGCCGGGAAAAGGTCCCCTCTGAGTTAATTTTTTATTTAGGTACATAAAGGTTTCATGGTAAAAAAGTCCACTTTTTCAGAAAAAGACCCCCCCCTTTTGCAATTGCTAGCTACGGGCCTGTAAATGGTATAATTTTATGGGACCTCGAAAGCGGAAGGATACAGGCACCCACCTTGGTCACCCCTGGGACCACCAAAATACGCGTCATTTCTTTCACCAGACAGAAGACATGATAGGCATCCAAAACGACTTGAGAGATTTTGTCAGACAGCAGGTGGAGAAGCACAAGGAGACCTTTGACCCCGACAACATCCGGGACATAGTAGATCTGTACCTGCAAGTAACCGGTAAAGAAAAGAGGCAAACCAAAGCGTTTTCCAGTAAGTTATGTCCGAAAGGGGAAGAGGGGGGCTCAGTGAGAAGAGCATTATTCATTGGACTTACATGAATACTATATATATATGTACAAACACTAATGGCAGCTGGGAAAAAGGCTTAGAAAAATGCCACTCATATTTATATCAGGTGACAAAATCCATCCCATGCTAAACATGTTCTAAAGATACTTTTCTAACTGTATACAATTTTGAAACAGCTAGAATACCTCTGGAAAAGAATAGCCCTTAAGAGTAGTCCTCGTGGGGCCCATACAGAATCCTTGCAATTGGTTACACTCTAAGCCCACAAAACTCCAGTTTGTTCACTCTTTAACCGTGTGAACCAAACCTGGACCTGCTGGCTTGATTGCTTCCTGGGCGAGTCCTTATTATAAATGTACCGTCATTATGGTACATTTATTTTTTTTTCTCCAGATGAAAGCATGGTTCGAGCCATAGTGGATCTGTTTTCTGCGGGGACAGAAACTACTTCTCTCTCCACTACTTGGGCCATCCTCTTTTTGGTGTGCTACCCAGAAATCCAGAGGGAATTGCACAAAGAAATAATGCAGGTGATAGAGAACATGGTTTATTGTCTTATTCGTAAACCAGAACACTACACAGCAGCAGAAAGAATTTATCAAGTAATAAAACAAAAGGGGACCCGTTTCGAAGATTTAAAAACAGTGCATTAATACGCCAAAAATATTAAGTCAAGATTGAAGAGCCTTTCCGTTTTACATGGGCAAATCCTCTTTTCAGGTGATTGACAATGGCCGCCGCCCTTCTCTCCAAGACAAGCCACACCTGCCCTATGTGCAGGCGTTCATCTCTGAAATGATGCGGGTTGTTAATATTGGTAGGTAGAAAGCTAACTTTTTCTGTCTAAAGAATAGTACCTGATCCTGTTTCCCAAAGGACCTACGTCTTCAGTCAATCGTACGTATCAGAGGATGCAGGGTTTGTACGCAGTGGAGGACTTAGTGGTGGTGTCTTGTCCCCCTTCGTTTTCTGAAAAGAAATTACATCAGTATCACTTCTTGAAATAAGAATTATGACTAGATGAAGCTTAGTTCTAAACCGTACCAAATGGCACCGTTTGCTCTCAAAAACACCTTTTTTTCGGGGCTCTTGACAAGGCTTCGTGTTGGAGGCCTTTCATTCCTAAAAAAAAAAAAAAAAAAAAAAAAAAAAAAAAAAAAAAAATCATGGATCATGGCAGTATAATCATGATTATTTCGAATTTTAGGTATAAAACGTGGTTTCTTTTGCTAGCGACAAACTGCAAAGAATTTGTACTCACAGACACGATGGGTGTGGTCTGGTGGGGGTGGGGATGGCGTGACCATAGATTATTTATTTTCGACAACTTCTCAGACAGTGAAAACCAGTACTTTTCTCGTTCTCTCCAGCACCTACATCCGTCCCCCACGTGACCCAAGATGAAGTGGAGTTGTGTGGGTACGTAATACCAAAACGCACTGTCTGCACGGCGAACATCTACTCGGTTCACATGGACCCCAAGGAGTGGCCCGAACCCGAGGAGTTTCGCCCTGAGAGGTGGATCAACAAGAATGGCGAATTCTACAAGCCCAGTAAAGCATTCCTCCCCTTCTCCCTAGGTATGTGTCTTCTTGTAGGATGGACTCGAAGTGTTTAAGTTATTGGTTTTGAATTTAAGGCTCACGATGTGTGTAATTACTTTTAATATGTATAGATAAAAAAATTATAAATAATGTATTCTGGAGATTTCAACATATTCCCCTTAATCACCAAGGTATATGTATATATATTTTCAATCCTATCACATTTTTGAATTGAAAGTTTCTAGCTTTTAAGTCATCATCGAAAGGGTTTTGGATACACTTATGCCATGGTGATAGAGGTAAATTGCTGAGTTATTACCCTGTCATGGTATACCATGCACTGTATACCATGCATTGTCTTTAACAATCGCTGATAGGAATTTCTATATTCAACTGGTCGTATATATTATATTTATAGTTATACGACTAAATTTATATTTATAGTTAATTGGTAATTAGAGAAAAGCTCACGGATTAAAATCTTTATATCTAACTTAAGATCCGGAGATATTTTGCGTCTTGCTTTTACAAAATTCATTGTAGGTCCCCGTGCCTGCCTTGGTGAGCAGTTGGCCAGGATTGAATTTTTTCTCTTCCTGACCTCGATGGTCCAGCAGTACGAGTTCTCCACCCCCATTGGTGCCCAACTGCCACGACCTTTCCCCGAACGCTCGGGAATCACCACGACCCCACCTGACTACGAGCTTTACATCATGAAACGCGAATAAATGAACTAAACAGCTCGGGATCCACCGTCCACACTGATGGGGCCAAGGCACTGGGGAAAAACGAAATGACATCACGTCCCTTCAATTTGTGGGTTTTTGGTTTTTGGTATCTCTTTTAAAATAATTTCGATGAAGTTTCATGTTATTTCGCAAATATTAGTAAAATACACATATGAGACAAAGAAGTACATATTTTGGCAACGTACATAGTTTTTAGGACATAAGCACTGGCATATGTATCTGATAAAGTTAAAAATCCAGAATGGAGGAGGAAGTTATACAGAAAATATAGCAGTTTTTAGGCGAATACAAGCTTTGGCTAAATTCTCTGTAAATATTTTACCTGCAAACGTACTCTGCTATACCAAGCAAATGGTTGCTCACCCTCTGTTCCTGGCATTACCCTTCTCTATCAGCAAAATCTTGGCCACGGATTTATATGTTTAATTCAGTTATAACGGACGATTAACACGTATATAGTCTAATAAGTAGCCGTATATTCGTTTTTTCTTTCATTTTCAGTAAGAATGGAACTACCAATGCTTCAGCTGAACCAGCGCTCTGTGGTTTTAATCATTTAATCCGAATTTGCGAATTTGGCGCAATGATGACGTTGACGTTTGTAAGGTGAATGATAAATATAACATATATGCAATCAAAGTAGAAGTGCTTCCTTAAAATGTGCGAGTAAACTCTTCATTAAACCTCCATTTTTCACTTGTCAGAGTATTTACACTTCAGAGGTATCTAAAATTAAGGAATCAAAATAAGTATACCTTTAATGTATCGCCTTTATTTATTTTTCCTACTTGAGCTAACAGACCGCATTGGAGTCGATAGTAGTACTCTCTGACAACAGGGTGCGCTCGAAAGCTACAAAAATGTTGAAACGCAGAGTGATTTTGTACAGTGTTTTAGTGGGGTACGGTTATAGTAACTTCACAGTCAACGTGCTTATGTAGGGGTATAGTGTAAGGGAGGCTGGTAATAAATGCTTATACAAATATATGAAACGTCTCTGATGATCTATCTATTAGATGCATGTATGCATATACATAATAAATGCTATTGTGCACCTGAATGTTATTGTGTACACATCTTTTATAATTACATTTCTCGAGGCCAGGATTGTCAGTGTCTTGATTCGCTTTAATTGGCCGCCGGGTCCTTTCCTGTGTATACAACCACTTTTTTCTCTCTAAGTCTTTGGCCTCCAAAGACCATGGAAGCTTATGATTAAAACCTAGATTACATTTAAAGTGCGATGCCCGTATGGTGCAGGTATACTGCCCTTACTACCCCTTTTCGTATGGCGTCTGAACAGAGGTACATGCGGACTGTAGCCTTGCGAAATCGAAGGGAATCGTACGGATTTAGGGCTATGTAATGTAGACATACTTGGCGTAGGCCGAAAAAAACCCGTACAGACAATTTCATCGCACAGCGCCCTTGTAAATGTTATCACAACCGGCCGTACGGGCTCTTACGGGCTGGTTGCGTCCAAATTTTGCGCAGAATCTCACGTCTCACGCAAGGCCTTCTTACGCAATTTCGAGTTCGCAGACAGCCCGTAAGCAAGTACGGAGGATTTTGGACATGTCCAAAAGATTCTACGAATAGCCTGCGAACAGCGAGGCCGCAAGCGTAACTTGCTCCCCTCGCACGGAGTTTGCAAGAAATACGCGCGTTGTGCAAGACGCACGTCGCAAGCAATGGAGCAAGTGCCCTTTGCGTGTTGAGTAAGGCGCACGCCCTCACAACTAACGAACAAAGTCGAGAGCACACCGGGAATGTGTGTCACCCCCACGCCTGGTGTATAAAAGGCGTGCTCACGACGCACGCTCGTGTCTTTACAATGAACGTCGACTTTGTAACTTGTACAACAATTTTCAAAAATTTCAAATTTTTGCTCAATTCAGTTTCAAATATGCCTCCAAAAGGCAAGAGAAAGAAGCTTACATAGTAGAAAAAAGGGAGGACGAAGAAGAAAGAAGATGAGAACAGGAAGCAAAACTGACGCACGCCGTCAGTACGTCACCACAAGCATGTGAGGCAAGTGTGAAGCAAAACTGACGCAAAAGGGCACTACTTACGCCGTGCGTTGCATTCCCTTCGTAAGTGGTGAGTATGTGCCACGTACACAGGAAGCAAGACAAACTCAAGAATTGAGTACAATTTCCACGACCATCGCTCCTTGCAATTAGCGGCCCTGCCTGAAAGGACATCCCATGTGGCCCTTGCGACTCGCAAGGCAGACTTTCCTCTACCTCTATGATCTCAGCAACACACAAAAATCGCAGGGGACAACGAACCTGAAATTCGTGCGTCCGGTTGTGACCGAGGCTTAAGCTTAACTTCCATGCTTGAATTACGGTCGATTTTCTCGTAGATACCTGCACAACTTAGGCAAAGATAACAAAGAAAAAATGGCAGATTATCAGGATCTTGGTCATTTGATCTTATAACAATTCACCATTATGTGCATCCCCTGTACAAACAGCTTTATATAAGGCAACATTTTCTATCTTACTCTTCAACTTTTGACCACCCTGAATTTCTCAGTTTACCGGTAAGTAATCTCTGTTGGCAGCGTTAGAACTAGTAGCAATAGTAATACTTCAATTTAGGATTAAATCGCCTAAAATGTAATATATTCCCCGTAGCCCCAATCGGGCAATTTAAAATGACGAAATTACCAAGAAAGTCATAAAATAAATTCTAAGTAGTAGTCCCTTGCCTACAGTGGTCTATCGTTTCATTGTGTAAAAAGCTCCAGTGGGCAGACAATTTTCACGGTGCATGAAGATTAACAGTTAAAAAATACCCACAATAAATTCGGCAACCGTAGGATGCGCCAACATATAGATAATTGCGATAGTATTTATGTCGAAATATCAAAATGAATAGCCCTGCCGTTCCAATCGGCAATCCTCGACTGCGAGTGCGGAGGCATCCGAGTAGTTCCGAGTGCTGCCGTTTGACCCTTTAAACCAATCAAAGCAACGGAAAGGGTCACGTGATCCCTTGACCTACATCTGATCGATGTAAACAATGAATATCCATGCGAAGCTTGCACATCTAATAGACGATTCCCATGCGTTGTTTCAAGAAAAAAAATACGTCCTAGGTTTTTAAAATCGATGTCAATATTGAGAGAAAGATTTAAATAGTTGGAGAATACGTGTATTTTAGGTGTATTTATATAACTGGCTAAATGATGACGTGAATTCACGGCAAAAAGGTATGTAGTATAGCCCGTAGACTGTGCACTGTACCACTTCTACAATCGCACACAGGTCACACTATTACCCAATATAGTGATCATATAATCACTTGCATGTATGTTCAGTAATGTTACATTGAATGTATTTTTAATTATCAGGTGTGTTAAAGCGCATATAATCACTTAAAATTATTTGACTCAATGTTAATAATAGTATAAATCCATGTGTAGAGTTACAAACTACATGTAGGTATCATGAGGGCTGTTTGTTTATGAAGCTGGCTAGTGCTCAAAAAATTATTTCAAAAATATCTAAGTGCTTCATTAGGTAGAATAACTGAGGTTTTTTTATGTTCAAGTTTATCTTTAAATTGCAAAGGTACAATTTTTTTAAAAAAAGTTTGATTGTTGCAATTAATTGCAGCATAGTCTAGTAACAACAGCATATTAAAAGAAATAACAGCTCACATTTAACAAGGCTTTTATGATATATATAATATATTTTTTTCCAACTTAATTATTTCAACTGTGAAATTATAACTTTATACATTTCCTGTGCATATCTGAAAAAGATTAATAAAATGCCATTCGAACAGGTACACTTAAAGTTTTGCAAATGGATTTTAGGTCTAAGAAAGCAGGCTAGCAATACCATTTTTAGAGCTGAACTCGGCAGTTACCCTATTATTTCAACTTTAACTAAACCTGTCTTAAGATTAGTCTGAGACTGGAACAACTACCAGTAGATAATAGAACTGTAAATCAGGTGCACAATCTTGAGCAAGATACAAAGGGAAACACAAGGACAGAATCTATCCGAAGATAACAACCCACCAAAGAAATTATATCAAATAGAAAACCTTTTAGAAATATTGAACATAAAAATCGAAAAACTATTCTGGCAGGAATTAAATAGCTAAATCTCAAACAAATTAAGGACATACAAAACAATTAAAAAATATTATGAATGTGAAAATTACATCAAAATGAGTGTCTCCCCATTAAATATCAAAACACTTGCAAAAACTAGACTAAGTGACCACAACTTTTTTTTTTACAAATAATGCAGATAGCTGGCAGCACTGGTGACTTTGATATACCAAAACCTGAGACTGATCTCAATTTCTTGGGAGATGGTCCTGTATTTTGGGAAGAGTACAACTGGTTGATGGTTCTGTAAAAGAAGCAAAATAACATTTTACTTTTCATACCATATATATTAGTGCATTATAATGTGCAGATACTGACTACTACAGAAACAACCTTAAATTAAGTAGGATAAATATCCAAGTGGGTGTAACAAAGATATGTAAAATATAGTAATGTGCTCAAAATTCAGTTATAAAAACAGTTGCCCTGTATAAATAAAAAGACAACAGAGAATACATATTTCAAATAAAAACATCTGGATACCTGGATACACAAATGATTTAGCAAATACAGAGCAGACTGCAAATCCTTGATTGTTGCAAGTGCAATTGTATATACAATCACTATGATTTAACTATAAAACAAATAAATAATAATGAAATAAGATAAGACAGTAGCATGTGAGTTTATCACATGATTGACACCAAGTGATACTGACAACTATAATTACATATATCCTCATGATTCAAAGGGCATAGGGTAGGTATAGGATTCAATGTATTAGTGGCTCAGCGTGTTCCTTTTATGAGGAACTAAGCTGTAACAAACTACAGGCAAATGAGACCCACTGTTTAATATTTGTCGCAACAAAGACAAATTAATCAAGCTTAAAGATCTAATAATTAAA